AGGCAGGGGGTGGGTAGGGAGGGTACAATAAGATTGGCCACGTGTTGATGGTTATTGAAACTGAATGATGAGTTTATGGGGGTTCATCATGCTATTCTGTATATATTTTCTTTCTACATGTTTGAAATTTTCCTGGGAGTGAATTTTGTGGTATTCCTTTCCTCTCTAGCTAGATTCCTTTTATTGTTAATTTTTCCCTTGATGTACATTTATACCAAAGTAGAAACACTCGGTGTTTCATTGGGTTCATCATGCTGAGTAAACTCAGCAATGCAGCTCATGTTCTAAAGTTGGCATGACTTCCTGGGGCTACATCCCAAATTATAGCGGGTCACCAAAATGATAGCCTTGCCCGCTAGAAACTGTTAAAACAGTTGTAATTACAAAGGGTAGTTAGTACAACTGTTCTGTTCTCAGTGAGACAGTTACATTTGCTCTTCTCTCCTCCCCGCCCCCTGCCCTCCTCGACCCAACCCAGATTGCTCCTGCCTGACCCCAGACACCGGAAAGTCACCGGGTTAAACAAATGTGTTGTTTGAGTGAGGCCAGGTGCATGTCTTAATCGTACTCTGAAGCCATTGTTCAGGTTGTAAATGGTCAGTTGGTTCTCTCTTAAATGGTGTTGCAGAAACTAACAAAACTTAGAGCAAAATGTACACTCAGAATGAGTCTTAAGGAAAATACCTCATTTATTTTTTATACTCTTAAGACAAATTTTTCTGGAGACTGGAAGAATTTCATTTTGGATTGTTATCTCTGGTTCCATATCCATTTTTAGAAATTGTTTTTATGGGGCGCCTGGGTGGCGCAGTTGGTTAAGCGTCCGACTTCAGCCAGGTCACGATCTCGCAGTCCGTGAGTTCGAGCCCCGCGTCAGGCTCTGGGCTGATGGCTCGGAGCCTGGAGCCTGTTTCCGATTCTGTGTGTCTCCCTCTCTCTCTGCCCCTCCCCCGTTCATGCTCTGTCTCTCTCTGTCCCAAAAATAAATAAAAACGTTGAAAAAAAAATTGTTTTTAGTTCTTCTAATGCAGACATATAAAGAGGCTTAACCACAGCGAAATCCCACTTGTCTGTCCTAATAAAAGGGGACATTGGTAAAGACACTCCAAAGTGGCAGGTAATCTGATTGCATTTTGTGCATCGGATGCTGTCCATTGTTATTTTAATAAACACGTAATAAACGTAGCTTGTAATTTCTGAAAACACCTCATACTACCTACCAGGAAAGGTTACAGGTCCGGAGGCCTTCCAGGTCACTGAAGTTGAATTTTTTCTTTGGATAAGTTATGGATAAGTAGAGTAGGCTATAATCAGAACACTTTTCATTAAAACTGCATAGTACCATGTGCTTTCTGTCTCTGGCCTGAAAAAAGTATTGCCATGCATATAAAAGATCTCTCTCTCTCTCTCTCTCTCTGTATTTCCTTCTTTTTTTCTTGTTAGATTTTATCAGATTTATGTGTTCAGGGGGAATGTCTAAGTTTATTACCTAAACACAGATGTTTATAAAGTGCTAATGTAAAAAGCTATCAAAAAATACGAAAATGCGTGGAAAGAAAAAGTACAAAATTCTGTTTAAGTCTGTAGTGGTTTTTAACATCTGCATAGTTGAGTAAGTTTCTAAACATAGTTAATCTGCATAAATTAATATGCATTCCACCATTAAAAGTGAGTCTTTAACAGATTACCACTATTACAGTTTGTGTATTTTACGAAGTGGGCATCTCATGTGCTTTTAGTGACTATAATTATTTTAATAATTATCTACACTTATAAACATGAATGAATAGGCACACATGAGAAGAAACATTATTATAAAGCCATGTTGGTGGAATAAGCTTTTGTTTTTTCTTTCTTTCTTTCTTTTTTGGTGACTAGTGTTATTTCTACAGACACAGATATATATCAGTTAAACTATAAACAAATTCATATGTGCCCCCAAAACGGCTTTGTATGAATACGCTTGATGAGTTAGCGTATGAGTAGATAGAAAACAAACATTAGTGCTTGCTTCAGCCAGAGGCCTTTTGTGCAGGCTTCTCTGCTCTGTAAAACCCAGCTCAGAATCTGCAAAGTCTGCCAGTCAGGACTGTCAAAATCCATGTTTAGTTCTCTCTCCTCACCTCATTACTTCTTCAAGTACCCCTGCCCCCCATCCACACACAGCCCACTTTTAAAAAGACTATTTCCAGCAAATATAGATGTCTGGTTTCCCAAATCACCATCAGCCCTAGCAGCAGTTACAAAGGGGGTGGTTATTGCTTCAAGACGTCAGAGCTCCACTAAAACGTGGCGGCATAGTAAAAATGAAGGCCAGGACAAGGCCATAAAGACGCTAGGTCATTAACAAAGGAACTCTAAGAAGTGCAGCTGCCCAAGACCACTTAATTTGGACCCAGACACCCAAAGATCCCTGCACATTTTAGTTGTCCCAGAGTAAAACGATCAGGCCTAAAGTACATCAAGAAGCAGATGTTTTAAAATAGTAGAGATGTGTGTAGTCTATTTTTAGAAACAGTGACATTTTAAGGGTAAATATTATTTATCTTGAAACCTCCTAGGAAAGCTGGTTTCTGAAGGTTGGGCAAATGAAGTATTACTATAGAAAGTGGCTTAACAACAGAGAAATAGGAAAAGAGTGGTTAAACGTGTGTTGGTAGTTGGGTTAAAGGACCAAACAAATGTGTTGTGAGCAGGAAAAATGAGGGTAGAATCCATATTCCACCCCCCCAATCACTTATTTATATAATTA